CTCTCTCTCTCTCTCTCTCTCTCTCTCTCTCTCTCTCTCTCTCTCTCTCTCTCTCTCTCTCTCTCTCTCGCTCTCAGTTGTTACGAAGGGACAAAGCAACAAAAAAAAAAAAACTTGAATGCCACACTTTTTTTCTTTTTTTTTTTTGGGAACATTGACTTGAGTAGCACATTTGAGTGACCTCAATGAACGTTATCCTTCCTAGGTTAGAAGTCGATGCTTCATTTTCATTCTCATTCTCTATTGAAAATTCTCTCCATTGAGCATCTCTCTTTCCCATTCTCTATCGAACACACTCTCTCTCTTGTTTTGAAGGGTGGCAATAGCAAATCTCTCTCCCTTTTAAGGATGGAGATAGCAAATACACTTGAAAAGAACCTTAAAAATATCCTACCCATGCATTCATTGCTTTTTGAGTTTAAAGGGCAGATAGCGTCACGTAGACGGAGCAAGTTACAAATTCTCTCCGAAACAAAAAGCAATCAAAAGAATTCTTCATAAATTTTTGAGAGAGATCATTTATCTTTTGTACATAAAAATCACAATTATTCCCACTTATTAGATATTAAATTAGATGAATTAGAATAAATCACAAAGTCTAACATTTTTGTTTTTGGAGCTTTGTGTCTATTTAAGACATTATTATAACCGCTCATTTTGAAATTTAAAAGACAAGAATCATTGAGACCTCCATATAAAATAGATAAATGGTTTCTTTATAAACCATCCCTGAATTTTTTATTCACTTCAAAAATCATTAGATGAGTAATTAAAAAGGCGCATGATATTGAGCTTGAAGCTCAAAGTGAATATCAAGATGCTATCATTTTCAGCTTGATTTCTTTTTAAGTCATTATTTTTCAGCTTTATATCTCAAATAGTTGACACAAGGCTCAAATGACGACGATCTATTTTTAGCTTTATATAAGTTTGTTTGTGTCTAATTTTTATTTTCTTTTGAGGTTGATAGCCAGGAATAAGAGATAGGTGCAGTTGGCATAGGGATGCATCCATAAGTGTAGAGGTAAAGTGCACCTTCAAATTTTATCATGATATATAATTTTGATGTAAAATGTTCTTAGGATTATCTCAAAATCTATTTTTATATCTAATTATAAAATTTTAAATTTTAAAAATGGTTAAAAACAAGTAGATCTATAAACATATGAAAATATTGAAAATGAAATATGCTGTAAAATGCACTATTTTTGAGACTTAAAATCTTTTTATTTTTCATAATCATACATCTCAATGTTGAGATGATCAATCAAAGGGTTTTTCAACATTAAATCTACATTTTCCGATGGATTTTTGAAGGGCATCCGTAGTTCTACATTATAAGGTACCATCCTTATATAAACTTTTCCATAAGGGATTTGCATATTTAAAAATTTGAGGATGTAAATAAGACAGGCGATGGGAGAGCCGCCAACGAGCCAAATTAGAAGTTTCACTCGAGCAAGTGAAAGGGAAAAATGTTCCATGCCAGCATATAATTAGATATGAAAATAAATTTTGAGGCTGTCACGAATATTTTCAGTACTGAAACAACATCATTCAAAACTATTTGAATGTGCACCTTACTTTGATTGTTTAAGACCTCAGCCTTATACAAACAACAACAAAAAACAGATGTACCTTTCGCATCGGATCTGTTTCCACAAGGATGAACAGAGGACTCAAATTGCACTTCACACCACCAAATCCAACGGCTAAGGGGACACATCATTTTCTAGTCAGAATGGTTTTTTCCTCTACCTGAATATTCTTCTTTTCTTCTATGCATTTTTCAGAAACACAGAACTAGGCTTCGAACAGGGCAGGGACTGAGCCCACTCAGGCCATTCCCAAGTTGGTTCGACTCCTGTCGTACATAAACCATATTTCTTGCAAAAATATTCATTGGATATTTTGAAGACTTGAATAGACTTTGGTTAAACTCTGACAGACTTGGATCATATGGGTCTAGCCCATCCAGAAGTGACAATTCCAAATGACTCGGACATGTGGAGTTTTTAAGCACTGCTTCTATGTCTAATCCCAAGTCCTACTAGGTAATGAGAAAAAAAGGCAAGAAATATGGCCATTGTTTCACTCTACATTTCAGCAGTTTCCAGTAAAAATTCAGTTGTAACTGTTAACACCCATAGTTCAGCTGAAAAGTTCATGTAACTTTGTCCTGAACATGCTACCACTAGCAAACTGGAGACTGAAGTGAGATCTAAGTATTGCACAACTTAAAATTAAAGTTCTCTCTTTAGAAAATAGTCATCTAGTGATGATAAAGGGATCAGGAGGTAACGTCCTAGGAGGTATTCCCACTGTTAACAATTCCCACCCCTCCGCCCATCACACCACCAAAAAAAGAAAGACCAAAAAAAAGGAAAATAATCTTCTAGTGATTTTTAGGTGGTTCCCAAAATATCAGATCTCAGGTGAGTCTTTTGCTCGAGGGAGTAGGTGTACAGTATATGCTCCCGCAGGAGCGAGTTATTATCATCTCTTAAATAGAAGCACATTTTCTAAGTCACTTCAGTTAAGAAGATTAAAAGTTCGCATAAAAACTAAGTTCCCATTTTATGAACAAATTTTACGGATTGGGGTCTTGTTTATGGATTATGTACTAGAGCTAAGGTAGCAGAGATCGAAACATGATGATTAGGAGCCCGATTCTGATCAAGACAGTGGGTGGTTGATTCTGGTTTGACAGATACAGATTTGTGCTGATTCCCCTGGTTTTCGACTTTCTTTTTTTTTTTTTTTTCCCTTTTGTAATATATAGTGCCATCCAACTCAGGAATTGCCTAAGTTGGACAGCGCATCAGAATCATATCTCTAGCAATTCAGCGCCCAATTCAGATTTTTAAAATGTTGACCAATAGTTAAAATGTTGATCAATAGTAACGGAGTTACACAAGAGAATAGCGGTCCAAAAACGGGTGTGGACTTCTGCACAACACAACCTATAAACTATGAAAAACACCAAACAATCTGTACATCTGTCGACAACCACATAGCAGAAAATCTTTTCTTTGTTTGTGGTGAGCTTATACCAATAAAATTTACAGAAATGCCGAGTGAAATAAAAAATGAAAAAGCAATAATATGCAAGCAATTGAATATAGTAATAATCACAGAAGAAAAGAGAATGACAGGTTTCCATAAGTTGTTCAAAACGTTACATAATACCGAATCAATGCCACAAGCCCAAAACAGATAGCAGAATGGTATAATCAAATAGAATTTACTGGAAATTAAGAGCTAAAGAAAATCAAACAAATTGATAAAAGTGCTACAATAGTAGTACTAGAGTAATAAGGGATAAGAAAACAAGGTTTTGAAGAGGTGCAGACTCAGGAAAAGTGACTCCTAAACTGACACAAACGCCAAAAAATCACAGTTACTATATGGCAAATATAACATACAAATTACAAAAACACAATATACGAAATTTAAAATTACTAGAGCACCTGTAGTTGTAGCAGCAACCCTGGCAGTAAAAATAACAGAAATAGCAGCAGCAAGTGATGAATAGCATTTGAGAAGCATAATTGAAACCTTATATCACAAACTGCCAACCAACTGAGAGAAGCAGTGATAAATTGTAAATTTTATACTTATATCCCAACATAACTTAATAACTTATTGCAGTTAAAAATTGCAAATCATTGAGCTGAAAAGGAATAAGATATTGCGTAAATCACATATATCACAATGGAGAAGTACCAGTTATTTTAGGTAACCATCTCGCCGATCCTGCTCCTCAGTTGCTTTGTTGGCAGCGTGTACAGATTAGAACCACAAAAAAGCCTACATTGATATTTCAATTTAGAGGATGAAGAAAACCTACATTGCTATTTAATCTAGAGGGAAAAATAGTATGAAACCTGGAGAATTAAAAATGTCAAATAGATAGACGTACAGAAGTGGGTACACACCAGTTATGGCGAAGAATCCTAGCAGAGGAGCATAAAATATGCTATCTGAATCGATTACTCCAAAACCCGGCCTTTGATTGGCATATTCAAAGACAACCAATCTGTAGCCATGTCAAAATAAAAATTTAATTTAGCATGTGAGATCTGAACTGAAATCAGCACTGAAGTCTCTCCCTCACTCCCTCCCTCCTCCCTCCCTCCTCATGTGTGTGCACGCGTTTGTCTGTGTGTGTGGATGCACACAAGGAATTTGCGGAGATTGTTTGGTCAATAAACGTTCTTAGTCAGATTTTGGCTAGGTGACGACAATGAAAGGCCAATCTGGTTATATCTTCTAGTGTAAGAAACTTATCACATCAGATAGTTCCTATAAATGTTTTTATAATTGCCACAGGCCAAGAACTGGCTGCTGCCCCAAGATGAGTTACTTGGGCAAGTCTGAGTGGACTCGCCCGAGCAATGTACACCATGGAAAATGGTCAAAAAATAAAAAAATCATTAAAAATAATAAAGAATAGCAAAAATTAAAATAAGTAATAAAAATCATTGAAGCACTATAGAAGAGGAAAAAAATATATAAAAGCTGCATTATTCGAAAATAGAATGTATACCCTGAATATTTCAGAAAAATCAAGAAAAGGATAAATAAAAATTGGATCATGTAATAAGAAAAGTTACCAAATCATCCAAAAACATATTTCTACATATTTTTTATCTTTTAACATTATTTTATATTTTTTACTTTTTTTTTTGGCTCCTGGTGAGTTGGGCACCCCAATTCGCCTCGCTCTATGGGCGAGGCCAAGTAACTCGCCGGAGTCCACTCTTAAAATGCTGGTTCCTGTAGTTAAAAATCCATGATGAAATAATAACAGTACTAAGAGTATAGAACTCTTAATCAAGAATGGCCATAGTTGAAGTAAGAATGTCACTTTTTTATTAAAATTATAATCCATTCACCAGTAATTTGAAAAGAAAACCACTTTGGACAAAATAAAACCATAACACTTTGTTCAGATTGCTAGTTAGCTAAATCAGTAAAATACCGCTGCAATGGCAGTTATGGCAGAGTCAAGAAGATAGGCATAAAAGGGAATCTCAAAGGTGGTTGAGAACCATCAGCTTTTCCATCATCACGGGCCCAAGGAGGAGGCTCATCCGAATCAGGCCTTGCCCAAAATGGGATCGTTTCATCTGTCTGACTTGGTTTCACTGAACCTTCAGCGGCTGCGATTACTCTAAACATGAGAGCCTTTTTGCCCACTTGGCATGAAGAGCGTTTGCTTATTTTCTTTAGAAGACCATACACATTTGATGGCTTTATCAGTAAGATCAGATGCAATGGATCGCAATTCCTTAGTGCATGAAGCACTAGATGTGAACAACATTAAGATAAAGAGAGCCATTTACCCCTCCTCCCATTCTCACCCTTCAGTGACTCCACATAAACAGACCCAATATAGCTGCAAAGAAATATATAGAAACGAAACTCTCAAAATACATATAAAGGAAAACTAAAATAAGCCTAAATTTTGGCCGATATGCTGGGATTAAAAGTTACCAAAGATAAAAATATAGTTCTTTTCTTTTTTGTTAAGGCGACTATATCATTAGTTTAAAGATCGACTGAAAGACTTAACTCTCCCAACCCCCCTCCAAAAATAAATAAATAAATACAAGCATGATTCTTTTTTCCGCATAGCAGCAGGAGATTTATTAAATCATCTCGAAAAAGTAAAACAGGCAAAGAAGAAATCGAAAAGGCCACAAACTTAGCGAGACTTTAGTCATCATGGCAGTATAAAGATCTCATTTTTCAATCATATCATTCTTACAGTTTGAACTTGGAAGGACAGTACTGAACAACGCACAAAATCTCAAAATGAATACACAAAATGCGTACTCCCACACTGCTTGACTAATCTTTTTTGATAAATAATGTTTCATTCATTGAATATAAAGTATATATGAAGTCATACTCCACTACTCCAGGAGAGGCCTGCCGAGGTTTTGAGTCTGATAGCCAAGTGTAAGGAGGGGAGAGAAGCCATCGAGAAGTGTGAAGGTTGTGTTGGAATTTTGGTTAGGGTTTTGAGGGAGAGGAGATCGAGGAGTAAGCAGCATGCCCTAGCGACTTTGGCGAGTCTTTGAGAGCACAACACAGGTATGGCTTGGGAGGCAAGAAGGGAAGGGGCTATCTGTTGTGGGGCTGAGATGGTAAAGGATAAGAATGTGAAGATTCGGAAGAATGAGATGAGGCTGGTTAGGGCTTTGGAGAAGGGTTCTGATTCATTTGACTTGATGAATGAATGAAGGAATTTAGGATTTCATCCCTTTTATCTACGTTCTCCATTAAAATTCAATGGTACTTCATAGGGGCTAGTTTTTGCACTCGTGATTTTAGTAAGCTCATCCATCCCGTACAATTCGGAGTTGTGCCACCTATCGTTAAATTCGGATTTTCAAAATCCAAAAATTATAAATTTTCAATCTTTCAAAAACCTGAAAAGGGCAAATCCATCTTTTTTTTTAAAAAAAGTGTTATAAAGTTGAAAAAACGGGTATAGATGTAATAACGGTAACTTTGAGATAATCTCGTAATAACGAAAAATATAATGTATATATACATTATTTTACCTAAAATTTTACACTAAAAAATTGATTCAAATCAAGTAGATCTATAAACAAATGAAAATATTGAAAATGGACGGTCCACATAATGTGTTGCAAGATGCACTATTTTTTCAAGTCCAAATTTTTTTTCTTTTTCATATACATATCAAATCCAAATATGGCTATTTGATGTTAGATACATTGTAAAATGAAACAATAAGCTATTAGATGTATGATACATGGAGCTAGAGACAACTTTGGGGAAAACAAACATAGTAGAAATTTGCGGTAAAATATAGGTACTTATCGACCAAAGAATAATTTAAATAATTCTACATATGTAAAAAAAAAACCAATAATCAAATATCCTTACAATGGACATTTCACCGAGGATTGGTTGGAGACTCTGCTAAAGTTCACCATCATCACCATCATCATCAACGCTTTTATTCCCTATGCAGACTTTTCAATTGAAGGAACAAAACCTGCCATACTCATTTCATTGTTCAAATTTCTCATCAAATTGTAAATATCATTTGAGCATTGGTTTGACAAGGCTCCTGCAACAAATTCCTTAAACTCCCCCTTCACTTCAATCCAACTACACCCAGTTGCTTTTCTCAACCCACTTTCATTTAACCTCTTTCTAATTTTTCCCTTATCTTCCCATTTTCCCTTAGCTGCATAAATATTTGACAACAAAATATAAGCTCCTTCTCTCTCAGGTTCGATCTCCATAACCTTCTCAGCTGCCATGGCTCCAAGCTCAATCTCCCCATGTATCATACAAGCCCCAAGAAAAGCCTCCCAAGCCGCTCCTTCCTTCTCTATTGACATGATCTTGATAAAGCTCTCAGCCTCTCTTAACCTTCCTGCTCGACCCAACATATCGACCACGCAGGAATGATGTTCAGTTCTTGGTCTTATGCCATAAAAATCAGTCATGGTTTTGAAAACCATAAGCCCTTCTTTAACCAATCCACCATGGCTGCAAGCTGAGAGAAGACCCAAAAAGGTTATCTCATCAGGTCTCATTCCTTCTCTCTCCATTCTTTTGAACAAACTCAATGCTTCTTTGGATTTTCCATGCTGAGAAAACGCCCCTATCATCACAGTGAATGAGACCACATCCCTGTAATTCAGGGTTTGAAACAATAGATGAGCCTCTAGTAAACTTCCACACTTTGAATATGAATCAATCAGAGCATTTGCCACTAAAACATCTGACACGAATCCTAATTTGAGGATTCGAGCATGAACTTGTTGGCTTTGTTGTAAGGTGGCGAGGCCACCATAGGCAGGGAGAACACTAGCTAATGTGAACTGGTTTTCTCGCATCCCTTCTCTCTGCATCCCCTGATAAAACCTCACAGCTTCATGGTTTAAATCATTTTGAGCAAACCCAGCGATCATGGCCGTCCAAGAAATAAGATTTGGAGCTTGCATTCTAGCAAAGAGTTTACTGGAACTGCCCATTTTCTTACTCTTAGAATACATGGTCAATAATGCATTTACAACTGGGGTTTTGAAAGCTAAGCCTTCTTTTATCAGGCATCCATGGAGCTGATCTCCAACTTCATGTCCCCCGGAAAATGCCCCAAGTATACTGGTTAGGGTGAAGCCATCAGGTTTTAGGCCCTCTCTCCTCATTTGAGAGAAGGTTTCAATGGCTTCTTCATCACAAGAGTTCTCTATGTAAGCATTGATCATTACATTCCAAGAAACCAAGTCTACTTTAGAGATATCTGCAAAGGCCTGCCTTGCTTCACCAATCTCTCGAAGTTTCGAATAGCCATCGATCAATGAACTACCTACAAAACCATCTGAATTAAGACCACGCTTTAGGGCTTCAACGTGAATTTGCGTTAAAGGGTTCACACTAGAAAGAGAATTGCAGGCCTTGAAAAGCAAGGTCAGAGTGATGGAATTAGGGATCAGACCAGCTTCTTTCATCATAGAATACATAGAAAAGACCCTGTTGTGGAACCTGTGATTGAGATAAGCCGAAATAATTGTATTGAAAGAGATTGTATCTCTCTCTAACATATTCTCAAAGACTCTTGATGCATAATTGAGATGCCCACATTGACTATACATGTTGTTGAGTTTGTTCCATAGTGATATACAGCTGATAGAAACCACCTTTATCATGTGAGAGTGGTGCGCTAGACCCCTTCTTAGGTTTCTTTCACTAGTGCAAGCTTGCAAGGATTCACTGAGTCTATTTGATTCGATTCGAAACATGGGTTCGATATAGTTGGGCTTCCTTTGCCATTGATCTCTTGGGCTGCTTTCTTTAATAACTCCCTCCATTTCTTGAAACTGGTTTTGCAGGAGAAGAGAGAAGAGGATCACATGGGTGAGTTTGAATTTTGCTAAAACTTAAAATTATTGAAGTTGGTGTTCATAGAATTGGCTTTCCTTCCACACTGGCTTTGGTCGGTTGCTTTGAGTGACAAATCCCTCCAATTTTGAACTTGGTTTTTTCAAGATGTCTTATTTGTTTTCTAGTTTTAAACTCAAATTTTGAGGTTATAAGAGAAGATCGTTTCTTTCTTCTTTTCAAAAAGATGATTCAAGGCTCGTGTTTAGTGTTCATGACAAAACGCCGAAACAACTATTATTGCAAATTCTTTTGCTATTCAAAATGGTGTGACCACATTTCATTGAAATTGGACTGCTGTGAATATCAAAGCACATTATCTGGACCATCCAATTTCAAGATTTTCATGTGTCTATAGATCTACTTGATTTGAACCATTTTTAGAATTAAAATTTTATAATTAGAGATGAAAATAGATTCTTAAGCCATCCTAAGAATTTTTTATATCAAAATTATATTTATGATAAAATTCAGAGGTGCACCTTAATTTCATTGTTTAAGGTTCCAACCTTTTACAAATCACACCCAAAAACTAATTCATTTCACTTCATTTTAACAAGCTACAAGGACAAGAAAATATCAAGTTAAAATGAAGCAAAAAAGAAATTGGAAATATTTACAAAGCAATGTAGTAAATGAAGGAGATCCATGAGAAAAGATGGAAAAAATTAGAAAAAAATGTTTTGATCCTTAGACCTATATAATTACATTACGAATTTCAATGCATGATCAAGTAATGCTCCAACTCAAAAATTAGAAAAAACTCAGTAAAAAATGAAAGCACACTCCGTAAATACCATATAACTCATGAAAGTTGTACTAGAAGAGTAAGCATCAAAGAGCCATCTCAAATCTCTCTCATTACATAACAAACAACATCAAATTCATGAAAACCGAGATCGCAAGAGAAAAGAGCATAGACCCACCTCAAAACCAGTATTTCCTCTCTTATCACTCTAGAGAGAGAAAGAAAGCCCCATGAAACAATGACTCGAGGAACTTTGGTCAATAGAAATGACATCTCGTTATTCAAGTATTTTCGCAAGATAATGAAAATTAATAATACAATATCCCCATTTGTTTTGAAAACCTAAAAGAATTATTTATAATACTCGTAGTCACTTTTTAACCTTTTTTATTATTTAAATGCAAGATCCAACCGATCCACAAATCAGGATAGCTGATTTACCAATTTGGATCAGTTTTCTAGATGGCTGGTTTGGGTAGACAATCTTGGTTATCAAGGACGGGAGAAAAGGAAGAGTTTGTGTAGGAAGAAGGCATTGATGAACGAGATGTAGAAAGATTGATTAACAAAGATTTTGGTTATGCTTCTGATGTGTTGATTCACAAAATGCCAAGTAAAAGTTTTTTATGAAAGAATGTGGTTCCACATTATTGTTCACAGCAATTCAATTTCGATGAAGTGTGGTCACACCATTTTGAATAGCAAAAGAATTTGAAATGTTAGTTGTTTCAACATTTTGTCATGAACACTAAACACGAGCCTTGAATCATCTTTTTGAAAATGAAGAAAAGAAAGATCTTCTCTTATAACATCAAATTTTGAGTTCAAAATTAGAAAATAAATAAGAGATCCAAAAAAACCAAGTTCAAAATTGAAGGGATTTGTTACGCAAAGCAACCCAAAAAAGCCAATGTGGAAGGAAAGCCAATTCTATGAACCCCAACTTCAATAATTTTAAGTTTTAGCAAATTTCAACACCCATGTGATCCTCTTCTCTTTTCTCCTACGGAACCAGTTTCAAAAAATAGAGGGAGCTATTAAAGAAAGCAGTCCAAGAGATCAATGGCAAAGGAAGCCCAACCATATCGAACCCATGTTTTGAATCGAAGCAAATAGGCTCAGTGAATCCTTGCAAGCTTGCACTAGTGAAAGAAACCTAAGAAGGGGTCTAGCTCACCACTTTCACATGATAAAGCTGGTTTCTATCAGTGGTATATCACTATGGAACAAGCTCATCAACATGTGCAGTCACTGTGGGCATTTCAATTATGCATCAAAAGTCTTTGAGAATATGTTAGAGAGAGATACAATCTCTTTCAATACAATTATTTCGGCTTATCTTAATCACAAGTTCTGTAATTTCATCACTCTGACCTTGCTTTTAAGGGCATGTAATTCTTCCTCTAGTGTGAACCCTCTAACGCAAAGCCATGAAGCCCTAAAGCTTGGTCTTAATTCAAATGGCTTTGGGGTAGTTCATTTATCAATGGCTATTCGAAACTTCGAGAGATTGGTGAAGCAAGGCAGGCCTTTGCAGATATCTCTAAAATAGACTTGGTTTCTTGGAATGTAATGATCAGTGCTTACATAGAGAACTCTTGTGATGAAGAAACCATTGAAGCCTTCTCTCAAATGAGGAGAGAAGGCCTAAAACTTGATGGATTCACCATAACCAGTATACTTGGGGCATTTTCAAGGGGACATGAAGTTGGAGATTAGCTCCATGGATGCCTGATAAAAGAAGGCGTAGCTTTCAAAACCCCAATTGTAAATGCACTTCTGACCATGTATTCTTAGAGTTAGTAAATGGGCAGTGCCAGTAAACTCTTGGCTAGAAAGCAAGCCCCAAATCTTATTTTTTACCCCCATGATCGTTGGATTTGGTCAAAATGACTTGAACCATGAAGTTGTGAGGTTATATTAGGAGATACAGAGAGAAGAGATGCAAGAGAACGAGTTCACATTTGCTAGTGTTCTCCCTGCCTATGGTGGCCTCGCCACCCTACAACAAAGCCAACAAGTTCATGCTCGAATCCTCAAATTAGGGTTCGTGTCCGATGTTTTAGTGGCAAATACTTTGATTGATTCATACTCAAAGTGTGGAAGCTTACTAGAGGCTCATCTATTGTTTCAAACCATGAATTACAGGGATGTGGTATGATTTACTAAGATTAGAGGGGCGTTTTCTCAAGATGGGAAACCCAAAGAAACATTGAGTTTGTTCAAAAGAATGGAGAGAGAAGGAATGCCACTTGATAAGATAACCTTTTTGGGTCTTCTCTCAGCTTGCAGCCATGGTAGATTAGTTAAAGAAGGGCTTATGGTTTTCAAAACCATGATTGAGTTTTATGGCATAAAACCAAGAACTAAGCATCATTCCTGTGTGGTCGATATGTTGGGTCAAGCAGGAAGGTTAAGAGAGGCTGAGAGTTTTATTAAAAACATGTTGATAGAGAAGGAAGGAGCAGTTTGGGAGGCTTTTCTTGGGGCTTGTATGATACATGGGGAGATGGAGGTTGGAGCCATGGCCGTTGAGAAGGTTATGGAGATTGAACCATAAAGAGTATGAGCTTATATTTTGTTGTCAAATATTTATGTAGATAAAGGGAAATGGGAAGATAAGCGAAAGATTAAAAAGAGGTTAAATGAAAGTGGGTTGAGAAAAGCAACTTGGTGCAGTTGGATTTAAGTGAAGGGGGAGTTTAAGGAATTTGTTGCAGGAGCCTTGTCAAACCAATGCTCCGATGATATTTACAATTTGATGTGAAATTTGAACAATGAAATGAGAAGTGCAGGTTATGTTCCTTCAATTGAAAAGTATGCACAAAGAAAAAAAAGTTGTCAGGGAAAGGCATGATGATGATGATGAACTTTAGCATAGCCTCCAGACATGCCAATCGAAAAGGATATTTAATTTTTTTTTTTTTACGTATGTAAAATTATCGAAATTATTTGTTGGTCCATAAGTTTCTATATTTTATCACAAATTTCTACTACTTGTTTTCTTTTTCTCCCCAAAGTTGCCTCCATTTCAATGTATCTAACATCGAATAGCTCATTGTTCAATTTACTTATGTTTAAGAAATTCGTGAGGCTGTTCAAATCACGTCCAAATTGAAATTGAATTTGTAGAGTAATATTGCAGTAATATATGTTGTTTATTTTATTTGGATAGAGTAGATTTGACATTGTTATAAAAGATGTGCTATTTTTTGACAATGTCTTATAAGGCAATCAACACCGTCCAACTAAAATAAACGGTGTAAAATATTGCAATCTTACTTCTACAAATAAAGTTGTAATCTTATATAAACCACATCCTTGAGATGTTAAAAAAATGCAGCGCCTCCACAAGTATCTTCACTTGCAAACACTTAAGACACCATGTCCGTGTCTAGACAACATAGGATGAAGGTTTGCCCTGGGTTTAATGGACATGTTTTCCATGCGGGTAAACTCACAAGCTTGCACACCGACAATGTCGAACTTAAGGCCAAGCATGACACATGTCCATACTTCAAGACAAGTTATTTTAAAATAGATAAATTTACCAAATTACCCTTAAAGATGAATAATTTTTATATATTTCGATTTAATTTCAAAATACAATTTGGTCTCAAGTTTGTATGGTCTTCCACTACACCAAATACATCTAACCGTAATAAATACAACCTATTAAGCTGAAGTGCTCAGCACTTGATACACCGGGTCCATATCTAGGTAAATTAGGACAAAAGTCTGCCCTAGGTGGTTTATTGGACATGGTTTCTACGCGGCCAAGCCCACAAACCAGTACACCATCTACACAGTCCAACTTATTGTGACAGTATAGATCACATGGCACGGTGCAAACTATAGCATCCAACTAAGTTGGACGGATGAGATGCCAAGGAAGCTTCCAGCTACCCCGCATGAGACAATTTACGGGGAGACAATAAGTCGGGTCTGGGTTACGGGATGGCAACGGGTTGGGTTGGCTCCAGGTCCAGACCTAGCCCGTCCAAAAAAATTAGACCCAGACACGGATCAGGTTGGGTAGGGACCATTTTTACCCCACATTATTTATCCGGTTTTCTATTCCTTGCTATGTGCGCGTGAAAGGTACACTTCAATTAAGTTCAACCACACAAGGAAAGGGGCTGGGTCTAGTTGGTAGCACCCCCATACCTAGTTACCATGTTGTAGTTTCCAATTCTACCGACACCACCCACTCACAACTTCAAAAAAGCTAAATCCCTAATCTATATGAAAAAACCAGTAGGGGTATGTCTTCCCCACTGAATTACCCAACAAACAAAAAAAAAAAGTTCAACCATGCACCACCTCACTAGAAGGACAGTTAGAAACTGTGACACGTGTTTGTGCGAAGCAATCAATACCGTCCATCCCTACCACATGAAGTGTATGATGAATGCAGTCGTTAATGTTCTATTGCAGGGATTGACGATCTATAGTGCTCCACGATTATTAACAGTATGATCAGTCCTTGAAATTCCAAATTTACCCCTTTCATGGAGAATAAAAATGAGAGAAAGAGCAATTTTTTATTAAAAAATTGCATTTTTCTAACAATTAAGAGAAAAAAAAGTCTAGGAAAAAGGCATTCCTGGAGAAATGCAATTTCCAGTTTCCAGGAGGTAAATTTATTTATTTATTTGAACATTTATTAGGAGGTAAATTTATTCCAAAAAAAGTAAAACTAAGAAGATAAAATATGATATCTAAGAAAACCATAAAGAAGGAATAACCAGATGAATAAAACTAAAAAAATATTATTTAGAGATTCATTATTTTAAATTATGATATTTGATACAATGTTTAAGAGCTTCATACAAGAGTAAATTACGAGAAATAAATTATGAATCTAAGATGAATTAGTTTAGAATCCAGATAATGAAGAAACAGAAACAAAATTATTGCGAGAAGTTAGCCTGTTAGAATCAGCAAAATTCCATAAAAATATATGAGAATCGCAGTATTAAAGTATTTGAAGTCTTTATTTTTGGGGGTAATTGCTACTTATATTCCTTTGTAATCAAACATATTGCATAAATTAGATAAATTGACGGTTATTATGAGATGTAAATGAATTTTTCAAAAAAAGTTATGAAATGCAACTGAAGTTATCGATCTCTGGGGGCAATCTACAGAGATCTAAAACTCAACAAACTGAAAAAGAGAAATGAATAATACGAAAAAAAAAACAGTAATTCAATATAAACACGCTAAAACCTAACCGAAAACATTCAAACTCAAAAGAAAAACCAATTATCAATCGATACATTTTGATGTGGACCAGTGACAGGTGCAATAGGAAAAAGAGAATGAAAAACTCCACTTACTTTCACAGTTAAATTGAAAAAGGAAAACTGAGAAATATCAGGAAACAGCCAAAGATAACCGGTGATATTTTTGAGCAAACAGTTCATTTGTGTACCTTGGAGTTCTGGTTTTCCCTCGACTTCACTGTCTTCGCTCTATCAGAAAACCCTGACCCTAGAGCGATGAAGTTATCAGATAAACCCTTGAAAAAAACAGAGAGAAATGAAAATGGAACCAAAAAAAATTCCGAAAAAGCCTTTCATTTGATTTTTGACCGTTGATCGAGTATTATAGGCTGGTTTTAACTACACATATCCAGGGTTCGGGAAATCTGAACCGTTGAATGGGAAGGACGAATCCGTTTGATGTAATCGCCGCACAATATTCTGACGCTTATCTCACAAGCGATCGACACCGTCCGGTCCACCAGTTTCGATATACGGCGCTGTTTTTTTCGACCTCACAGTGTTCTCCCGCGGGATCATTTTTCTACAGCATAAAACTTAGATACTTCCCCTTATCCAATCATCTATTTGGAATGGAGGGGTAAGATTGCCCCAAGTACAATGTCGTTTCCACACTATTTTATTTTTAATTTTTTTTGATAAATTATTTTGATGCCAAATTTTGGACATCTAATCCTCTATTAAACTTGCACCATCAAAAAATGTAAAACAAATATTTTCAATAAAATAAAATGACCAAAATACTCTTGAAAGTTTCAAAGGGTATTTTAGTTATTATATTTTATCAAAAAAATATTTTTAATAGTTTTTATAGGTGCGCCCCAATGAGAAGATGAAATGTACCAAATTTCATATTCATACAATTTTTATTAAAAAAACTAAAAATAAAATACTTTGAGACGTCGGATCTAAGATGAAACGGTGAGCGGTTCTCTTGATCAAAATTGGACAACTGGATGTTCTATGCTGTAAGGGAAGTATAGAAATCTTTCCCCATATTATATACTTGTTGTTTTAAGCAAGAACAGTTGTTTTATGCTGGCTGGACTGCATTTGTACAATATGAGGTTATGAAGTATAAAGCATCCATCTTAAAAATGGATGCAAATAGGTGGTCCACGTAAAAACAAATTGAAACTAGCTGTCCAAATGTTTTTTTAACAAAATTATTAGTGGGAAAATTATGCAAATATATGATATATTTACTGTTATTACAAAAATTAAATTTAGTTTTGTTATTATAGATATCTCAGTTTTTTAAACTTCATAACATTTTTTTTTTAAAAAAAAAAGACAAAACTTCCAATTTTCGATTTTTGAAAAATCGAAATATTTAAACCGAAAACTCAATCTCAATTTCTAAAAAACTAGCTGAAATTAGTCATTGGTTTTCGGTTTTTCAAAAACCGAAAATGCCAAGTATGTGATGTATATTGTATATACAAAGGATGAAATTTTATAAAACCTATGAAAACAAAATAAAGCCTCACATAAAGCATTTTCATCAACGGAATCTCCATGATGGCTCTAAAGTTAATTTCCAACATCGATAATAAAATTAGAAACTCTTATGTATAGATCGTACGGATATATGAACACTTATTTTTAGGGCGATATGGATGGTCTAGATATTTTGTTACAATATACACTATTTTCAAAGCTTGGAATCCTATTTTATTTGTCACAAGCATAATGTTTAATGTTTAAGCCGATATGATCGATGTAAAGGTTTTCAACGCTTAAACTGCCATTTTGATGAGTTATGAGGTGATGTTTTACTTAGTTTGATAGTGATACAGCCCTGTCAAACCATTTTCCTATAAGAAATAGACAATGTATTTCTATCAAAAAAAAAAAACAAATGGACAATGTATGTACGGAAGACTTTTCCAACTTAACAAAGAAAAAATAAATAGAAAGATGCCCTTTTGAGGATGAATTGAGTGATTTAACTACTACAATGTATTTGATATTGAGGGGTTATCTACAAAAAGATCATTTATCTTAAAAAGTTTATGTAAGGTTGCAACTTTAAAATATAGAAATAAGATGCACTTCAAAAATCCATCATAAAAGGTTGATTTGATGTTTGAAAACCCCCTAATTGATCATCTCGACATCAAGATGTATGACAATGAAAAGGAAAAAAGATTATGAGTCCTAAAAATAGTGTATCTTGCAATATGTTATCATGACTACCCATTTTCAAGATTTTCAAATGTTTTATAGATTTACTTGATTTAAACTATTTTTGAAGTTTAAGATTTTACAATTAGTAGATTCTCATCCTAATAATTTTTTATATCAAAATTATACATATGATAAAATTTGGAGGTGCGCCTTAATTTGATTATTTAAAGTTGCAACTTTATACAAACCACACCCTTTATCTTGTGTGCATGGAGATCATAATATTTCCCACCCATTAGATGTCAAATTGGGGTAAGGAAGTATGTGAATTTGTTTTGGAACATTATGTTTATTCAATAACACTTTTACAACTACCAATTTTGAAATTTAAGGGATAAGAATGATTGTGACCTCTATATACAAAGATAAACAATCTCTTTGTATACAATCACTTGAAGGAGCAAAAAATAACCCTCATTTTCAATAAAAGTAGGAGGAAAATCAAGAAGATTCACCCCATTGTAACAAACAAATTTGACCACCACATTTGAACTCTCTTTCCTCTCTTCTCCCCATACCGTCCCCCCCCCCCTCCCCTTCCTCCCTCCACCACCCTAATTCCCTATTAAACTCTCTTTCTAAATGTTTCCCCTAGTCTCCCTTTGTCAAAATTCAAATCGGGTGATTGTAAGTATGTTATTGATTATACTCAAAGCTTAAAAAAAAATTATTGAATTTTATAACACACCCCAAGTTATTCAATTTGATATCCAATAACTAAAAATGATTGTGACCCCTTTGTAACAATAATAAATGCTCTCATGGTATATAATCCCTTTAGTAGTTGAGACTTTTAATTTGTGGTAGTTCAATAGTAGGAATTGAATTTAAGATAAAAAATTGGGTCTCTTCATTATTTTAATTTTTTCCATAATGAGAGAGAAAATTATAAACAATTTACTAGTAGGGTGGGAAGGAATAGGGTGGCAATAGACCTAACCAGACTCGAGACCCAACAGGTAGACCCAACACTAAGTCCAGGTATGGGGTCGCATCCAAAACCTGGAGCCAAATACTATTCGAATCTAGGTATAGCCAAATGGGTCCCAAATAATATGAGTATATGTCATGCGGCTATTCAATCTAAATGTTTCCAACGTCTATTTCTTAGGAATTTTAAAGTATTATATAAAACAAAGGAAAATTTTGTATAGAACCCTAATACGTCATATTATTTCATGGTAGATCTTCATTCCATTTTTCTTTCAATCAGCATAAAGAAACCCCTAAAGATTTTACTGTACCCTCTCATTTCTTATCTCCCTATTTTATTGACTTTTGACCATAAAAATTAACTCTAACAAATCTTTTTATACCATTTTAACTCAAAAACTTTTTAAACGATTTTCTCCTTTCCACTCATTAAAAAACATTCGTGGGTTGAAATGGTATAAAAAAATTTATTGGGGTTAATTTTTATGATCAAAAGTCAATAAATGAAGGAGATAAGAAATAACGGGATACGGTGAAATCTTTAAGCGTTTCGTTATGCCGCTAGAAAGAAAAACGGAAAGATGATCTACTATGAAATAATATGAGGAATTATGGTTCTATACGAAATTTTTCCATAAAACACTAAGGAATGTGGGTATATACGGGAATTCATAAATGTTACGCAATACGATAAATGTTGCCAACAATATGGATATATGATGATGATAAATAAATAAAAAGAAAGAAAAAAAAAAACTCAGACATAAGGTGGCAACGGATTCGATCAAACCCAAGACCCGACAGGTTCAGGTATGATCCAGATTTTTTACCCAAAAGACCCGGTCCTGGTCTGGGTTTCAAATCTAAACCCAAATATCATTTAGGCCCTGGCCGGACCCAAACCGTTGCCATCCCTAGAGGAGAATAGTCCCTGCTTCCCCAGGGTACCATCAAGGAAATTGGTCTGCCAAAAGTACTGTGTTAAGTACTCTCTCGTTCGTTATGAAGGGCGGCAGTAGTAAATCTCGCTGCCTCTGAGGGGAGGGACAAAGTGACAAATAAACGTGAATACCACATGAGTGAACCTAATGAGCTTTATCCTTTTTTAGGCTACAAGTTGATGCCTCATTCCCATTCTCTATTAAAAACTCTCTCTCTCTCTCTCTCTCTCTCTTACTTAAGGGTTTCAATAGCAAACGTAAGATTCAATAGATAAAAAAGTCACATCCATCATTCAAATTTTTTTATTTTGGACATTGTGGTCAAGCAGTGGCACAATTTCAACCACCCGATTTCAAATCTACCGATCAATGATGACTACGAGCTCCCTATATCAAGAGTAATTTGTCTCTTTGTATACATTTCCTAATAATATTCTTCATATGCAGTCATTGTTTTTAGAGTTTTAAGAGCGGATAGCATCACGTAGCGGTGCGAGTTATAAATCTCTCGGAAACAAAAGGCCTCCTTGTATAAAAGATTTATTCACTTTAAAACTCAAGTAAGAAAGGCATATGATATTAAGCTTGTAGCTTAAAGTGAATCTCGAAATGCTATCATTTTTAGCTTTGATTTCTTTTATAATTATCTTCTTCAGCGGTCTAAGAAGGATGAGGATTTGAACTTTTCATTAACCCATCGCAATCCCAGGTAAAAAACGTGGCTTGTATTCGGTAGGCAGCCAACGTAAAACCTTGCAAAAATTTTGCATGAATCCAGAATAGAGCAAAATGGTGGATCCGGATTCTTGCAGCTGACCCCAAGTCATTGGGAAAGGGAAAGTATACAATGAGACCATTTACCTTTAATACAAAGTGGTCATAATTAAACTTGACCATTGAAATTGAATAGTTGTACTTATTCCATTGACCAAACTCGAACTTCAAAATAAATTTTCTCGCATTTTATTACACACCCAAACTATCAGATTTCACATCAGATAATTGCAAGTAATTGTAACCTCCTCGTATCAAATGTAAATGATCTCATAATATACAATCCCTTAGGAAAAAAACTTTGATAATAGATGGTATCTTCTTCAGATTTATATCTCAAATAGTGGCATAAAACTCCAATGATGATGATCTTTTTTAGCTCTATATAAGGCTGTTCGATCATTATTTATATTTTCTTTTGAGGTTGATTACCAAGGTGAAGTGGTTCCATCTTTAAAGTTTGAGGTTGTAAATAAGACCGGCGATGGGAGGGGCTGGCCCTGATCATACACGACTCAATTAGAAATAGTTAATAGATGAAATTTTACTCAAGCAAGTGAATGGAAAAAATGGGTTTATAGATGAAATTTTACTCGAGTAAGTGAATGGAAAAAATGGTCCATAGGAGCATATAATGTTTTTAATTTTACTTTTAGCCAAGGTTTAAAAATCCGTTCGGCAAGTTGAACCCGCAATCTGGAAAACCAGTCTGGGTTGGCATCACAATTCTGAATCAGCAATCTGGTAAAAAGAATTGGTCATTAAAAAAATAAAAATTGCAGCAATAAAAAAAAAGTGAGACTCGATTAACCGACTCCCTAACCGAACCAGCTATATTGAGTATTACAGATTCCCAATATATTGAGTATTCCAGTGATTTTTTTTTTTTATTTTAAACATTGATTTTACGTGCTACGGTGTCTCGTTGTTATCCTTCACCCAAATCACAAAGGAAATGTTCTCACCATGAACAATTGTTTGGGGTTTTTCTTTTACCGAAATCATCTTATACGTTCAAAGTTGGGTTCAAGGAGCAAAGCTGCAAAAACTTTAATTGTATAATTCAAACAAGAATTGTATGCAATGAAATTATTAGTTTTGATACACACACGTCACGAGCACTCAAGTCATAAGATGTAAAATTGATTAAAAATAAATAAAATATCGTCATATGTAAAATTCAACTGATCAAGTGTGCCACTTGCATTAGCATTAGGGTGCGGTTTGTATAGAGGTTAGGCTCTAAACAATCAAATTAGAGCCCACCTTCAAATAGTGTTGAGAAATATGGTTTCAATACTAAAAACCTTTGTGATAGCCTTATATTATATTTTCATCTTTATTTATAAAGTTTAAAACTTCAAAAATAGTGTAGATCAAGAGATCTATGAAAAACTAGAAAATATTGAAAATTGCTGATCCAAAAATGAGTTACAAAATATACTATTTTCAAAACTTGAAATCCATTTTTTTCTCATGTCCATGCATCTTGATGGCGAGATGATAAATTTGAGGATATTCGGACATCAAAACAACATCTTCTAGTGAAATTTTTGAGGTAGGCTCCAATTTGATTCTTTAGAGCCTCAACTCTATATAAACTTTTCCCTTAATATTAATAGCTCATGAACTTTTTGCATCAAATATAACCATCTCAATGTATAGATTGATACAAATACCACAAACATAGTTTTTTAAAAGTATAGTTTCATTATACTATAATGACATGATATCATTTATCATATATACTTCCCCCACCATCCAACCATCCAATTCACATATCAAATGAGCCACTAACCATTTGATCTAGGTTCGGTGCCTCAGAATATTTTATTTTTTAAATTTTTTTTGTACAAATTTGATGAATATAAAACTTGGTAGACATCATCTTCTCAATAAGGCGCACCTAAAAAAAATATTAAAAAGAACTTTTTGATAAAATATAATAATCAAAATATCCCTTAAAATTTTAAAAGGTATTTTGATCATTTTATTTTATTTTAAAAAAGATGATTACTTTTTGTTTAAAAAATTATTTTAATATATAACTTAACTATTAAGCAATAACAAATTTGAAATTTGTACAAAAGTACAATAACATTTTAGAAGTTAGTGTCTAGAATTTTATTTGCAAAGTGCTTGTCTTTTAGTAAAAATTTCAACTTTACCTTTTATAGAGATGACAAAAGTACCCTTTATCTCGTAGTAATATTTACAAAACTGCTCTTATTAAATGATGATGATATCACAAAAAGTAGCTTTTTTAAAAAAAAAATAGATTATCCCTTCACAACTCTCTCTACCTTTAACCTTTGTAATTTGAAGGGTGGTGAAATTTAGATTATCCCATATATATATATATATGCAAAATGATCCTGTGAGTCAGTGGGCTCACAAGAAAAAATAAGCCCAACAGCCCAAATTGAATCCGAACCTATCGGACAATCAAAGATGTACAATAGTATTTTAATTTTAATTTTTTTTCTATAAATCCAAATCACTTGAAATTTTAGACATGCAATATTCTCATCAAGCCGCATATAATAAAAATATAAAAATAGTAATAATCCGCAAAAAACAATTAACCAAAATACCTTCGAAACTTTACGGGGGTATTTTGATCAATCTTTAATGTAAAATATTTTTTTCATATTTTTCAAAGATTAACTTATTTTTAATAAACACATGTCTAAAATTTAATTTGGATTTGTAGAAAAAAAATTAAAATTCAAACACTATCAGGCATCCGTGATCATCATATCAGCCAGATTCAATCAAGGCCGTTGGGCTCATTTTCCTATATATATATATATATATATATATATGTTGTCAACCTACAGGCTGACTACTACAGTGTTAGCCAATGGCCCAGATTGAATCTGGACCGATCTGATGGTCACAACCTTATTTCGTATTTGAATTTTTTTATTTTTTTCTACAAATTCAAAAAAATTCAAAGGTATTTTGATCAATTTATATTTTTTGAATTATTTTTTAATAGTTTTATAAGATTCTACTATTTTTTATGAATAGCAATTCAAAATTTCAAATGATTTGGATTTGTATTAAAAAAATGAAAATTCAAATACGAAATATGATCGTGACCATTGGATTGAGCCCAAATTGAATATGGCTAACACTATAGCCGCTGACTATTATATCTATTGCGGTACAACCACAAACAAAATAGCTCCTTGGCAATCATTTTTTCATGTTAAACCGCTATTCATTTCACTTAAGGCATTAGAAAGTGTTTTTCTATACAGAAGAAAAGCCTTACATAACTCCTATATGTTAAAATGAATAGTATTTTCGCCTATAGGCTCTCCACCATCCGTTTTTATTGCACGGTGGGGATTTGACACTACCACGGACTCAAGAAAAAGAAGAAAAAAAAAAAAAAAAAAAAAAGGAAGGCAAACGAAAATAATCTTGTAGTGATTTTTAGGTGGTTCCCAAAATATCAGATCGGAAAAAGCCTCCTGCAGGAACGTGTTATACTCATCTCTTAAAATAGAAGCATATTTTCTAAGTCACTTCACTTAAGAAGATTAAAAGTTCGCATAAAAACTAAAGTTCCCATTGATAAGAAGAGCAAATTTTATGGATATTTGGACTTTGGAGTCTCGTTATTTATTACGAACTAGCAGTAAGGGTAGCAGAGTTCAAAACTCGATGATGAGTAGGCCGATTCTGATTAAGACAGTGGGTGGATGGATCCGGTTTGACGGATCCCAAATTTGTGCTGATTACCCTGGTTTTCAACTTTTTCTTTTTTTTCCCCTTCCCTAATATGTAGCACTATCCAACTCAGGAATTGCCTAAGTTGGACAGAGCGCATCAGAATCATATCTCTAGCAATTCAGGGGCCAATTCAGATTTTTAAAATACTAACAGGTAGTAACAGCGTTACAGAAGAGAATAGGATTCCAAAAGTGGTGTGGACTTCTGCACATCACTCAAATCTATAAACTGTGAAAAACACCAAACAATCTGTGTACTTCTGTAGACAACCACATAGCGCAGTAAATCCTTTGTTTGTTTCTGGTGAGCTTATACCAATAAAATGTACAAAGAAAAGAGAGTGAGAAGTTTTCGTAAGTTGCTCAAAACGTTACACAATATGGGACCAATGCCACAAAAAGCACAAAAGATATAGCAGACTGGTATAATTAAATAGAATTTACAGGAAATTAAGAGCTAAACAAAATCAAACAATTTGATAAAAGTGCTACAATAGTAGTATAGTAATAATGGGACAAGAAAACAAGCTTTTGAAGAGGAGCAGACATCAGGAAAAATGTCTCCTAAACTGAGACAAATGACAAAAAATTTGCGGTGACTTATATGGAAAATATAACATAGCTTTTTGTAAATTATACAAATACAATATATGAAATTTAAAATTACTAGCACACCCGTAGTTGTAGCGGCAAACCTGGCAGTAACAATAACAAAAATAGCAGTAGCAAGTGATGAACAGAATTTGAGAAGCATAAATGAAACCTTATATCACAAACCACCAACCGAGAGAAGCAGTGATAAATTTACATTTTTTATATTTATGTACCAACATAACTTAAAAAAGTATTGCAGTTAAAAAATTGCAACTCATTGAGCTCAAAAGGAATAAGAGATTGAGTAAACCACATATATCAGAATGGAGAAGTACCAGTTATTTTAGGTAACCATCTCGCCGATCCTGCTCCTCAGATGCTTTGTTGGCAGCTTGCACGGATTTGAACCACAAAAAAGCCTACGTTGATATTTCAATTTAGAGGATAAAGAAAACGTACATTGCTATTTAATCTAGAGGAAAAAATAGTATGAAACCTGGTGAATTAAAAAAATATCAAATAGATCGACTTACAGAAGTGGGTACACCAGTAATGGCGAAGAATCCTAGCAGAGGAGCATAAAATATGCTATCTGAATTGATTACTCCAAAAACAGGCCTTTGATTAGCATATTCAAAGACAGAACCAATCTGTAGCCATGTCAAAATAACAATTTAATTTAGCATGTGAGATCTGAACTGAAATCAGCACTGAAGTCTCTCCCTCCCTCCCTCCTTGTGTGTGTGCACGTGTTTGTCTGTGTGCGTGAACGCACACAAGGAAAAAATGAATTTGCAGAGATTTTTTGGTCAACTAACATTCTTAGTCTGATTTTGGCTAGTTGAAGCCACTCCGGTTATATCTTCAAGTGTAAGAAACTTACCACATCAGATAGTTCCTATCAATGTTTTTATATTCGCCTCAGGCCAGGAACTTGCTGCTGCCCCAAGGTGAGTTACTTGGACGAGTCCGAGTGGACTCGCCCCAGCAATGTACACCATGGAAAAAGGTTAAGAAATAAAAAATCATTAAAATAATAAAAAATATCAAAAATTAAAATAAGTACTAGAATGCACTGAAACACTATAGAAGAGGAAAAAAATATCTAAAAGAGGGATTATTCGAAAATTTAATGTATACCCTGAATATTTCAGAAAAATCAAGAAAAGGAAAAAATAAAAATTGGATCCAGTGAGAAAAAAAGTTCCCAAATCATCTTTAAAATCATCTAAAAACCTATTTCTAAATATTTTCTGGTATTTTATCATTGTTCTATTTTTTTTACTTTTTTTTTTTGTTGTGCCTGCTTAGTTGGGCGCCCCAATTCGCCTCGCTCTATGGGCGAGGTCGAGTAACTCAGCAGAGTCCACTCTTAAAATGCTGGTTCCTATAGTTAAAAATCCATGATGAAATAATAACAGCACCAAGAGTATTGAACTCTTAATCAAGAATGGCCATAGTTGATGAAAGAATCTCACTTTTTCATTAAAAAACAATCCATTCACCACTGATTCGAAAAGACAACCACTTTGGACAAAGCCCTAACAATTTATTCAGATCGCTAGTTAGCTAAATCAGTAAAAATACCGCTGCAATGGCAGTTATGGCAGAGGCAAGAAGATAGGCATAAAAGGGAATCTCAAAAGGGGATTGAGAACCATCAGCTTTTCCATCATCACGAGCCCAAGGAGGAGGCTCATCCGAATCAGGCCTTGCCCAAGATGGGATTGTTTCATCTGTCTGACTTGGTTTCGCTGAACCTTCAGTGGCTGCCATTACTCTAAACATGAGAGCCTTTTTGCCCACTTGGCTTGAAGATCCATGGTTTATTTTCTTTAGAAGACCATACACATTTGATGGCTTTATCAGTAAGGTGGGATGCAATTTAAGATGCAATGGATCACAATTCCTCAGTGCATGAAGCACTAGATGTGAACAACATAAAGATAAAGAGACAGCCATTTACTCCTCCTCCCCTTCTCACCCTTCAGTGACTCCACATAAACAGACCCAATATAGCTGCAGAGAAATATACAGAAACAAAACTCTCAAAATATATATAAAGGAAAACTAAAATAAGCATAAATTTATGCCGATATGCTGGGATTAAAAATTACCAAAGATTAAAAAGATAGCTTCATTTTGTCCAAGCAATCATAAATGAATAGGAATAGAGACCAAATTTCTTGCACAGAAAGCAGACTGTATTTTTTTTGTAAGGCGACTATATCATTAGTTTAAAGATGAACTGAAAGATTTAACTCTCCCAACCCCCCTCAAAAACATAAATAAATAGATACAAGGATGATTCTTTTTTCTGCATAGTAGCAGGAGACTTGTTAAATCATCTCAAAAAACAAAAACAGGCAATGAAGAAATCGAAAGGGCCACAAACTTAGTGAGACTTAGTCATCATGGCAGTATAAAGATTTCATTTTTCAATCATATCATTCTTACAGGTTTGAACTTGGAAAGACAGTACCGAACAACACACAAAATATCAAAATGAATGCACAAAATACATACTCCCACCCTGCTTGACTAGATCTTTTTTGTAAATAATATTAAAAGTATATATGAAGTCAAACTCCAGGAGTAAAGAGTACAAACAGACAGAGGCATATACATGAAAGAGGAGGATACAGGGAGAGAAAAGCAGGCATAAAAAAGGGGAAGGGGAGGGTTGGGAACGCAAGAGAATTAAAGGAAAAACAATATGCGTAGTAGTGAAATGGTACAAAAGACCGAGGGAGGGCTCCTCTATATTATTGCATAAACATGTCAACTGTCAGACCCACACCATCTTGAGCCCATTTTCAAAGTCTATATTGGCTTCTTAGAGGATGTGAAAGAACAAAACCATAAGTGACCACATCCCTGTAACCTCATTAAAATACAATCAAACTCCATGGGATAGGTTAGATACCTGTGACCCATCTGATAACATTGATGAGAGTCACCCCAAACGACTGATGCCTTGAGACAAAGCTCCGGTGAGTTCTAAAGTCCTATGAATAGAGCTCGAGCTTAAGCCTCTATCTGGTCTAATAGTCGCCCTGTGAACAACTGGAAAAACTCATCTACACCATAAAACTGCTGCTATAATATCTCTAAACTCTCCATAGACCAAGCAATTATTGTTCCACAAATTCTGTTACCCATTCAAGCCCTTTGTTAAGATGTGACATGAATGAGGCTAAAGCATGTCACTATTAATACACCTTAGGAATTTTAAACCAGAAAGGAAGGAGAATAATAGTAGGGGATTCAAAGAATTCAATAGCTTCAGTGAGGAAGGAAAAATCAGTAAAGCACCCCCATGGAGATTGAGGAGCATTTTTTATGAGATTCCTTCAGCAATTAGTGATTTTTCTGTTTCAATTCACCACTTGTAGAGTAAGACTAGGGTGCTAGCTGATAGATAGGCGTGGGAGGCACTCCATAAATCAGCTATTTTGAGTATCTTTTTTGTAGTCCATTAGGATTCTGTAATTGAGACAAATTTTGTAAACACGTACTTGTGATGCTTTTTGAAATATTAATGAAAGTATTGATTAGCTATAAAAAATGTTAAAAAAAGAAAAAGAAAAAAAAGCAACGACTGATGAAAGTAAAACAGTTCATGGGAATTAGCCTTGGGAACTTGTTAAACACCTGGAGAGGAAATACACCTAGGTACCAATGGATATAGTACGCACTATTAAGACCAGATGCTATGAATCTACCATATAAGACACATTTGGTTGCAAGATGGTACTCATAACCATATTCCATATACTATGAGAAGACCATTCCCCTGTGAGAAAGTGACAACTATTCAGAGTCTTTTTGCTATCAAGATTCAGGACCGTCAATGGGCAAGCAAGACGTGGTATTTCTATCAAACGTCCAGAAAAAATTTCTAATGTCCCCACCTCTGTTAACAAAAATGCCTAGGGAACATGTCCAGGAGTGGGCAGGGAGTCGCCTAGGTACTACGTTTGGCTAGACATTGCACATACCACGCATAACAGTCCCCAGTACTTGTACAAAACTTTTCTTTTAGAAGGAAACTGCACCAACATACAAGAAATGTGTACCAATTGAGTCGATTAGAAGTGTACAGAATCGGTAAATAAAAAAATGAATTTATACAAAATTTATTTCATTAGTAAAACAATGTGTAAACATCTTCCTATAAAATTTTGATGATTTTGATTATGACTTATCTACTTTTTTTTTATCATTTTCTCTATTTTATATTTCCCCCCTTCAATTTTCTGAGTTATTTCAACCTATAAATAATCGCCCCCCCAACCCCTCCCTTTTAACAATTTTCTGAGTTATTTCAACCTATAAATAATTTTTTTCCAAATTCCATTTTTCATATTTTCTCATCACTTTCAGACTTTTAGTGCTCTTCATGGTTCAGCTTGGTTTATTGATCTATTTTACTTGTAACTTTTTTTAAAAAAAAAATTCATAGGTGTTCTAGAAATGTACAATACTTGAGCAAGTACACCCAGACTTGCCCAAGTAACTCAGGCCCTGGTTGAAGCTGATAATTTTCTATTTTCTAAGTTTTAGGTTTTGTTGGCTTATACAGGGCTCGCCAAGTTACTCAGCTTCAACCAGGGCCTGAGTTTCAGGCCCACATCGAGCTTGAAAATATTGCAATTATGTGTTTCTGGGTTCTATGTGGCCATAAAACTAGTTCTCCTTATATATCAATTTCCATCATCCATGTAGTAGCAAATAGAATTAGCATCAAGGAATTATTTTTTTTCAATTAAACAGAGAAAGGAACCAATAATCACAATAAATGAAATCTTCCGGTTGAACTTTCGTATGAGAATCACATAAAGTGGAATATAATTCAAGATGCATGGAAACCCAAAGAATCAGAGAATGTTCAATAAAATAGATGAGAAATTACAGGGAACGTAATGAGATAAAAAATATGCTCCCAATTAAAACAAAGAGAAAAAAAATGGAAGAAAAAATAAGAGGTACCGTGGATATATGGTGCAGAAAAACCACAGCTGTGAAGCTTCAAGAGCAGAGTGAAGTTGCCGTCCTAAATAATTGAGAGCTCCAATGGCTCTTGGTAAATTAGGGTTTTGCAAAGATCAGGCACCCCAAACCAGAGCCTCACGTTGTAGTTCTGTAAAAGAAAAAACAGTGGTGCGATAATATTCGCGGTAAAATGAAAAACTGGAAATTTACGAAAATATTCCTTTGGAATTTAAAAATAAAGAAAAATACGCGGTTAGCATGCGGGGCAAGCCCGCACATGTAGAAATGCGGGCTTGACAATAAATATAATTTGATCCTAATTTTTTAGAATATATAATCTTTAACATGGACATCATGAAAAAAGTGAATCCGTTGTAAATTTAAAAATAAATCCTCGACCATTTTATAGGGAATACGACAAAAACCTCTTTTGACTCAACGTTTTTTACATTCGCCCCTGATTAAATTTTATCGCAATTTTTACTCCAAAACTAAGTTTTATAGTAAAGTCTCTCAAGTCAAAAAATCATAGTTTGAATTAAAAATATATTGTCCATGCATTACATTCTCGTAAACGCTCAATCCTCAAAACAGTTGGGCACATATTACTACCGGACTAGAACCCATGATACATATACTACCAAACCGCAGCAACAAACTGCTAGATACGCATGCAACTTATAGGGCTCGCAAGAAAATCATAGGGCTCGCAAGAAAATCTGCCAAACCAACAGACTTGGCAAACATGTTGGACTGCAAATATGCCGAACTGAATAGCAAAGAGAGAGGTATTTTAACTAAGGTGACGGCATTTTGGTTTGTATTTTACTATTTTTCTTTTGTTTGGGGGTTCTTTGCTATAAAATATAGTTTTGGGGTCAAAATTGAGGAATAAAGTGGTTGGGGAGGTTATCTAGAAAGCCTATTTTAGAGGGGTATCTGTAATTTTTTTTATTTTATTTATATTAATGTCCCACTTCTTAGAGTATGTATTATAATTTAATTTTGATATTTTTTATGAATAAAAAATTGGGTTGTTCATACGTCTCACTGTTATTCACCAATAAAAATAAAAATTTAAATTAAATAAAATAACTAAAATAAATTTCAATTTTGAACAAAATAATTCAATTATTTATTATTATTTAATCATTATATGTTTTGAGCATATAGAAAATATGAAATTAAACTACCAAACACATTATTAACAAGTAGGGCACAAATATAGCATATAATATATATAGGGAAAGCATATAACAATACGATTTACCTTTGGTACAAGGTGGCCATAATTGATCTTGACCATTGGATGTGAAATTGGGTGGCTACATTTATTTCATTTATCAAGCTCAAAGTTCAAAAAAAAAAATTCAAACTTTGTGACACACCTAAGCTATCAGATTTCACATCAGATGGTTGTAAGTAATTGTGACATCATTGTACCAAAGGTAAATGATCTTATTGTATAATATATATATATCTATATATATATATATTATATAGAGCCGAGGCTCTAAACAATCAAATTAGAGCCCACCTCAAAATTTTCACTAGAAGAGGTTGTTTTGATGCTCAAATATCCTCAAATTTATCATCTTGACATCAAGATGCATAAGAGAAAAAAAATAGATTTCAAGTTTTGGAAATAGTATATCTTTTAACATATTTTTTGACAGTCAATTTTCAAGTTTCTATATATCTACTTGATCTATATATTTTGACCAGAATGAAAGTGTCTTGCATGTATGTTTTGTCGGATCGTAGTTTTGACCAGAACGACAAGTGCCAGACCACTTGTTTTGACTGCATGACCGCAGTTTTGACCATAATGAAAAGTGCCAGACCACTTGTTTTGACTGCTGGACCGCACTTTTGAACGAACGAGGGAAAGAGGAGAGAGAGAGGTGTGGGTAAAAGTGTTAGGTAGTTTAGTATTTTTTTTTTCGGTTGGGAGGTATTTGCTAGGAAAGTATGTTTTAGGGTAAAAAATGAGAGAAAAAGTTGGGTTGGGGGTAAGCTGCATAGGAAATGTATCCTTACGATTTTTCTGTAATGTACTCATATATTATATATATATATATATGAAAAAGCTAACAACAGCTGAGCAGCTATAATGAATAGTAATATAGGTGAAATAGGAGCCGTCAAATCTTTATTATGTAGTTCAAAAAATATATTACTATATGAATTTTAATATTATTTAAAAAAACCGGTTCATAATGAAATTTTAAACTTGTATACTAATAAATAGGGTGCACAATTAAAAATATATAAAAAATACTTCCCAAAATATAAAATTACTGAAATACCCCTAAAAATGATAGGGTAATTTGGTCATTTAAAATTATTGAAAATAAATTTTTTATATTTTTATTTGGTACACAATAGTGTTAGGTATATACACCCAAAATTTCACTTTAATCATATTTTATGAAAAAAAATTAAAATTCATATGATGAAAATCTGACGGCTCTAATTATGCATATATTACTATTCATTATAGCTACTCAGCTATTGTAATGTTTACACCTTCAAATAGTGTTGAGAAATGTGGTTTCAATACTGAAAATCTTTGTGATAACCTTAAATATATTTTCATCTATAATTATTAAATTTAAAGATTAAAAATTAATGTATATCGAGTAGATCTATGAAAATTTGTAACTTGAAATCTATTTTTTTCTCATGTCTATGCATCTTGATGTCGAGGTGATCAATTTTAGAATATTTGGGCATCAAAATAACCCTTTCTATTAAAAGTTTTGAGATGGGCTCTAATTTGATTGTTTAAAGACTCGGCTCTATATATATATAAAAAATTTTAAATTTTAAAAATGGTTAAAATCAAGTAGATCTATAAACATATGAAAATATCGAAAATGGACGGTGTTGATAATATGTTGTAAAATGCACTATTTATGAGACTCAAAAGCTTTTTATTTCAAAGTCATACATCTCGATGTTGAGATGATCAATCAAAATTTCAACATTAAAACTACCTTTTCTGGTGGATTTTTTAGGGGCATACGTAGTTCTACATTATAAGGTAGCATATTTATGTAAACTTTTTCCTATATACATGTACACGCATACATATATATATATACACACACATACACACACACACATGGTGACAATTGTTCGGAAGTATTTTAATTTTTATCTTTTTTTACTAATTGGAACGATTCGAAATTTGAAGTGTGTGTACGTCTTAGTGAGGGGCACCTAATAAAAATATGAAAAATAATACACTAATATAATTAAGTACTAACTAACCTAACTAGATTAGTAGGTAGTTGTATCATACTATATATATATATTTACTTATTATTTATTTAGTTGTCACTCACTAATA